TCCCTTTGTGTGAGTAGTTGATCGACAGCCTCCACTGTGGAATCTTTAGGAACGTAGGGAATGTGTAGAGGAGGAGGAAAATCATATAAGACCTCGTAAGGAGTAGACTTAGTGGTTGTGTGGTAATTAGTGTTATACCACCATTCAGCAAGAGAGACCCACTTGGACCATTGATAAGGACTGCCACCAGACATGCAGCGTAAATAATGTTCTAAGCACCTGTTCACTACTTTTGTTTGGCCATCAGATTGTGGGTGGTAAGTTGTAGAGTGATGTAGATTTACTCCCAGTTGTTGGAATAATTGCTGTCAAAACTGACTTAAGAAAATCGGATCCCTATCACTGACAATTGTAGCGGGGAGGCCATGCAGCTTATAAACATTATCCAAAAAAAACCCTGGCTACCGAAGAAGCTGAATAGGGATGAGTAAGGGCCATGAAATGTGCATATTTGCTGAATCTGTCCACCATCACAAAAATGATTTCCTTTCCTTCTGATTTAGGAAGGCCCTCAATGAAATCCATGCTAATATCAGTAAATGGAGCAAGAGGAATAGGTAAAGGCTGCAGTAGCCCTGGTGTTAGCACATTCTCATGTTTATTTTGCTGACAAATACTACATTCCCTCACAAATTGCCTAATATGTTTTTGTTGTTTCTTCAAGTAGAACAAACTGCCTACTTTTTGAGCTGTGACCACCACCCCTGAGTGGCCTCCTTAAGCTGTGTCATGGTTTAAGGCAATCAGCTTATTATGCAGTGTAGGATTGTGACCTACTACAATTTTTCCCTTCCGGTTCAAGTGATTGTTGACCCACGTATAGTGAGGATGAGAGCTTGGGTCATGCAATAAATCATTTATAATGTTTTTGAGGCTATCATCCGATGCCCAAGTCAATTTGATTTCGTCCATAATAGGAGTAGAAATGGAATTCATGATCATGGTACTTAATTTTCCGCTAGGGATCCTTGATAAAGCGTCTGCAGCAACATTATCTTTCCCTTTGCGATACTCAATCTCATAATCAAACCCAAGTAATTTAGTAAGCCAAAGGTGTTGAGAAGGATACGTTACCTTTTGATCCAGCAAATGCTTAAGGCTAACGTGATCAGTCCTTATGCGAAAATGTCTCCCCCAAAGGTAATGTTTCCATTTAGCCACTACTTGTAAAATTGCAAACATCTCCCTCTCATAAGCAGATAGAACCTGCTGCGTAGGACCAAGAGCTTTGCTGAGGAAAGCTATAGGATGTCCTTCCTGCATTAGAACAGCCCCCACACCTGTGCCTGAAGCGTCAATTTCAATAACAAACAACTTGGTCATGTCGGGTAAGGCCAAAACTGGAGGATTTGTCATGGCTTGTTTTAAATTTTCAAAAGCAGTCGTAGCCTCTTCATTCCACTTGTAAGAATCCTTCTTGAGGAGCTGAGTTAAAGGCTTACAGATGGCCCCATAACCTTTGACAAACCGTTTGTAATACCCTGTGAGTCCTAGAAACCCTCTCAGCTGTTTGATGTTTCTAGGAAATGGCCAATTGGCAATGGCTTGGATCTTGAGTGGGTCTGTGGCTACCCCAGACTTAGTGATCACGTGGCCCAAATACTCCACTTAAAAGCTACCAAAAACACACTTACTTTTCTTAGCAAGGAGCTTCTGATTCCTGAGTATCTCAAATACAATGTGCAACTGTTCTATGTGCTTTTCCAAGGTAGGGCTGTACACCAAGATGTCGTCAAAGAAAACTGGAATGAATTTTTGTAAATGCCTTCTGAAAATGTCATTCATCAAGCTCTGAAAGGTCGCTGGTGCATTGGTTAAGCCGAATGGCATGACCAAGAACTCACAGTGACCATTATGGGTTCTGAAAGCTATCTTGCGGATATCCCCGGCTAGCATCCTTATTTGATGATAACCAGCCCGTAGGTCAACCTTAGAGAATATGGTAGCTCTGCCCAGTTCTTCCAACAATTCTTCTACAATCGGAATAGGAAACTTATCTTTGATGGTCATCTTATTAAGAGCCCTGTAATCCACACACAATCGCCAAGTGCCATCCTTCTTCTTTACTAAAACCACTAGTGAAGCAAAAGGGCTGGTGCTGTATTGTATAATGCCAGAATCTAGCATTTCAGTCACTATTTTTTCCACTGTATCTTTTTGTAAACCAGCATGACGATAAGGCCGGAGGTTGACTGGTTGGGATCCTTCCTTAAGAGGAATAACATGGTCATGTGTTCTCAGAGGAGGAAGTCCTGTTGGCTCTTTGAAAATATCCTGGTAAGAATGTAACAATTCATCTAAAGTTGAATTTCTCCCAAGACTAGGTTGAAGGGTCATTGAGCTGATGAAACGATCACTGTCTCCCACCACCCTGAGACTACATAAATTGACTTCAACGAACTGATTTGGACTGTTTATGAGGCTATTGAATTGTTCAAAGCCTATAGTTTGGAGCTTAACTGGAATGTCCCCTTGCAGCACTATATCTTGCCCTTGCCATACAAAAGACATCCATAATTCATTGTAATTGGATAAAATGTTACCCAATGTAACCAGCCATTGTACTCCCATCACCATATCAAAATTGTTGAGTTCCACGACAAATACATCTGTAGAGAACTGAACTCCTTGCATTTTCCAGAGAAAATTTTTGCACACATGGGTGCAAGTCATTTGGCCACCATTTGCTGCTTCTACTGCTAATGGTCGAATTGAAGTAAGAGTGCAGCTCAATCTCTTTGCAACCTGAGTGTTGATAAAATTATGTGTGCTTCCAGAGTCGATCATGATAAAGAGTGGAGACTTGTCAACCTTACCCGTCACTCTTAAGGTCTGAAAACCTGAAGTGCCCTCCAAGGCATTGATGGATATTTGGGGTGTGAAGGTGTCAGGATCAATCTCATTGCCTTCTTGGACCTCTTCTTCTGCCACATCCTCATCACCCAAAATACATAGAAAATACACCCTTTTATTTTTACATCGATGGCCGGGTATGAATTTCTCATCACACCAAAAACACAATCCCTTTGCCCTCTTCTCATCCAGCTCTTTATTTCTCAGGGTCTTTGTAGGTCGGTAAGGTGTGTTTGGAGATTTTTGGTGGTAGGGAATTGATTTTGCAGTGTTGTTATTGTGGTAGAGGGTGGTTTTAGTGTTGTTTTGAGTAGTGAAAGGCTTCGGTGGGTTGACATCAGTAGTGTGGTATGTGTTCTTTGAATAAGAATGATGAGGTTGTTTGTGGCTGATGGTGTTCTCTTGTAGCCTAGCTAGATTGTAAGCTTGGTATAAGGTTTTGGGTTCAAACATTTTAACCATGTTCTTAATCTCAACTTCTAACCCCCCAAGAAAAAACACTAGTGTCTGTCTCTCTGTCATCTCTGCCCTATTCCACAGAATATCAAATTCCTGTATATAAGTTTCTAGATCAGCCTTTTGCTTAAGATCTTTTAGTTCCTCTAGAGGATCTTTTTGGCCTCCAAAACGACAGCATAACACCTCAATGTATTCACTCCACAGTACCTCAGGTCGATGCCTAATAAAGTTCTGATGCCAGTATAAGGCTTTGTCATCCATATAGTAGGATGTTTGTTTGAGTTTTTCAGAATCATTCATTTCTGTGATTTCAAAGTATTGGTGACACTTGAATAGCCATTGATAGACATTGTCTCCATTAAAACTAGGAAAATCACGTCGAGGTTTGTATACCTGTTGAGGGTGTTGATCTACTTCTCTGGTCCAATTATTC